TGGGAAGTAGTGGATGGACTGCATGACTCCACACTTGGTCAAGATATAGAATCCTAGCTTATAAGGGGCATATGCTGTAACACGTTAAAGATAACACGAAACTAGCCTCATTCGAAGTACAAAAATGAGACGGAGTAAAAGCTTACCAAACATAATCGTAAAAAGTGTATCCAATGAGATCACCCAGACTACGCGTTCTAGAAAAACAAGTGAACCGTCCAAACCCAATAGTCTCTGCCAGGTCAATTCGTCTCCCAATCTGAAACAATAAAATCGTAACGATACTCAGACCAGCAAAATTAAGAAGTTTCGGCATAAAGCAAACTAAGGTCATCAGTTTTGAGGGTTCTTGCATGGGGCTTGATTTGTAAACATTTCTATTCTTCTGAAGAGATATTACAATCATCCAAACAATTTAAATTTATGAGTATATACCCCGTAGATTTCAACTCCTTCGATACACACTAACAATGTCACCTTTTCCAACGCGAACAGTACGAAATGAAGGAAATACTGATATCAAAACAACAAAGTAAAATTGTGTAGCACAGAAGAGATAGACTAAAATGGAGAAGTACGCCCGAGTCTATAGCCTTTTGTTCAACGGGCCAAGAGAAAAGGAATAGCCTTTCAATATCAAAGATGACGGCAACTACCTTTACAAAACATTCATTCAAAAGCATTAAAAAAGTACCTATCTAAATCTCTCCAATTATCTTCAGCAGGTGGAATATCTAGTCCGGGCTGTTCTACGACTCTAGGTTGTGGATTATCTGAAACTTCAACGGTAAAAAAAGCTCCAGGCTGTTGAAGAACATTTCCGGAGATGGTCTAGTCAAAATCTCACCGTTTAAGTGTGGCTGTTCAAAGTCATGATGACCTTCTACATCCTCGATAACATGCTGTAATTTGTGAGCATTTTTATTCAACAAATTGTTATCAGAATTGCAGACACAAATGCGTACCTCTGCTTCTACCTGCGCATCTCCATCGGGAAACTCCTCATCCTCGTCTTCTTCATTTTCATTTTCCTCCGTATCTGCTTCGTCCTGTA